AAAAAAAAAAAGCTTGGGAATTAAAACAGGCAAGAAAAGATTAAATGTATTTTAACATCAGTGCCAATGTTGTCTAATTAGGTGGTGTAATTAATCCTGCCTGATTAGACAGCATTAGATTAGCAGGAATAAACACAATGGAGAAWCTGCAGAGAAGGCAAGACCACTGCACAGAAATTAACAGCAATACCCCACAAGCTACACAGATGTGCCTAAGCTACACAGACAGAAGAGCTATATTTGACAGTGCTACATTAAAGCTCATATTTAGGTTAAGCTTTGGGTGTTGCTTCCAAGGTTATTTTAATAAATCATTTAGTCCCTAATTTCTTTTTAGCATTTTGTAGAGGTAAAAACTTCATTATGAACGTAAGAAATTTGGTGTAAAGTTGCATAAGGCTCAGATGGCTGGCAGAGGGATAGGTGGATTACCACAGGAAAAAAGGCATTACACTTGCAGGTGTAGAAGCAAACTCACCTCAGGTGTAAAATAATATATTTCTCTGTGGCCTCTATCCAAGATTTTCTGAAACAAGCCTTTAGCAGGTTTCAGAAATAAGTCTGGCCTGAACCTGAAAAAYCTAATGCAGTCTTGCTTGCCTGGACTTCAGATGAAATAACAAGAACTGAAGTTCATAGAAGCCTCAAGAGCTTAATGTTTCTGTAAATGGGACAAGCTTACTTAAGAAGCTAACTGCTCATGAAAGGGGTAAACTTTGCAAATATATTTTGAAAGACTCAGCCACTGAGCTTAGGGGATGTATTTTTTTCAAGAAGAAACCAAGAAACCTGGTGAGAATTAGCTGTCACCAATGGGAATAATGAATTACAWATTGATGTATTAATAATGTACTATTCTACAAGTAACAGTTGTGTTTTACTCAGAATAGTTGCATATTTATACATCATCAATATACATTTATTTTCATTCAAGCTTTTCYAGAAAGAACAGCTAAAAAGATTTTGAGGAACATCAAAAAATTAGGAAGCTAATGAAGAATCTCTGAATTTGATTCCCCACCCTCTCTAGTGCTATAAAGTCAAGGCAGCAATCTTTAGGGTGCATGAAAATTCCCCAGGAGAAACGGAGGGTCTAATACCTCTTTTGATGGAACCCGGGAGCCTTTCCTTTTATTCCACCACGTTTCCAACATTGCAATGAAACAGGATAGGACAATCCCTGCAGCGAGGATGCAGAAAACACCTGCAAAACTTTTTATGTCCAGGGCACCTCCTTTCTGTTTGGTATCCACAGATGAGTAAAGATCACACTGACCATTCTTCGGCCACCACTTATGCTTCAGTACGTCCATGTCACCATTCTGCTGCAGCTCCAAAATCCTTGGGGAGAAAGCACAGAGACAGGGGTTACAGCAGGGCAGCGGCACCTGAGAGCGTGAGGATGTAAATCTGGCTGCCTGCAGCCTTCCCATGTGTCTTGGAAAGCCAAGCAGCAGATGAACCTAGACAGACTGATTCAGCCAGAAAAGAGAGCCTGAGTATGGGGTCGCCTGTTAGACTGAGCATACGGACATCTGTGCTTCACTCCAGATACAGGAAAGCACACACAAGTCTCTCTTTCCTTCTTTTAATAACCTTAATGAAAATGTTTCACTTAGTACACTGTATTTTCTCAACTGGCTTTCACTATAGTCTGTGTCAAATGACTTCCATAGTGAATTAGATGTTTGGCAATATTTTGCATTTTAATCCCTGGAGAAGAAACTTTTCAGTTAAAAAAAAMCCCAGAAGGAATATACATTTCAGATGTACCACAAGTTACACATGACATTGTTGTAAACTAATCTTTACCAGGTTACCTACATTTGGTGCTTTGGAGAGAGAGCAAAGCCATCTTATTGCAGTCAGTGATGACCTAAACTAGTCTTGCTTAATGTCAGAATGCAACCTGCTAGTAAGTAATTCCACAGGATGGTTCCTTGYGGTGGAATTCACTTGTACTTGAACCTACATACCCAGTCTGTGGCYGAAGATTTACTGGGCAGCTTGCAAGGACAACATATTTAACTAGACTTCCTGTGGGACGAGAAGTTTGAGAAATGAGAATTTTGTTTGGAAGAATATTTTCATATTACATTTATTTCTGAGGAGAGTGTTTTTTTTAAAAAGCATTCAGAAATGACAAGAGTAACAGCTGAGTGCCTCTGGTTATCCAAAATAAAAAATTCGATGATTACACCTAAAAAGAATAAAACAAGAGAAATGTTTTCCTTCATGTAATAAATTTGTTTTTCATTCCAGCAATGAAAGGCAAACAATTACTACTGCAATCATTTGACACAGCAGGCAAAAAAATCCAAGTGCACACAAATCAGCAGAGGCCTGGGATGCTGCTACCAGAGAGACTGTACTGCAGCAGAGGAGGAAGGAAAGCTGTGCTGCTGTCTCAGTGCCACCACAACAGCTCAGTGCAGTGGTCTACATCAGCCTTGGAAGGGAGCTTGAATGCACCCTGGAAGCACAGGGCATCTGCTCTGTGCAGGGGTTACTCAGTCTCTGATGCTGCTTCACAGGCAGTCGAGTCTGTGGAGGCACCTAATTTGCCATGGCACATCCAAATGACCACGTATTCATGCTGTGGAATGGCCAGGAATGGGAGTGAAATCCCACCACAGGTCTGGAGTGAGCTCCCACTTCCCATCTAGTAGTATGCCTGGGATCGTGACCTGTCCAGAGGGGAACAGCTTGTTCACCCCTGTGCTGTCCCAAAGGGAATGGTGCCCTAAAGGAACAGATCACAGGTGGCACATACACATCCTCAGTGGTGCCAGCGTCACCTTGTTGACACATCTTTACAAAAAGTGGGACAGTCTGTGCAGTGCCTGCTGACAGTGCATCTCTGAAGGTCCAGCCCTGGAGAAGGATATTCCAAGGTCAGATTTGCCTGTACTGTATTTTGACTTCTCCCAAATCCAGAGACAACTTACGGAAGCCTCATCCTGAAGTTTCCTGATGGAGCAGGGATATCTCAAGGATGGGAGGATTCTCTCTTTTGTTGGAACAGACAGAGCAGCTGTTATGGGCCACCCATGTTCAGGGAAGCTTTGGAGGGATGGGGACCAGCTGCCTGCAGCTGCCTATTGGGAGTGTGTAGTGATCAGGTTAAACCCAGTGACAGGAGCAGATGCTACTGGGACAAACTGGAAGATAAGAATTTCCAACTAGATAAGAGGAGAATGGGAGAGGTCAAACAGAGAATTTATGGCACCACCACCCCGGTGATATTCAAAGACCCACTGGGAAAGACCCAGAGCTAACTGACCTAACTGAGCAAAGGGCTGGACTGGAAACTAGATTATTCCTCTGCAACTGCAAACAGAGTCCATAACTACTCTTGATCATAGTATACAATTGTTATGGAAAAAACTCACCTGGTAATCACTGCCCTAGAATCCTGTACTAGGATTTAGGCAAGTATTTTGGCCCAAATTTTCCATTCTGATAGGTCAGCAGGAGAAGAGAGTCAGCATAAACGGAGCCCTTTTGTGTAAGTTCTCGTGGAGTAATACTCAATGTTCAATTCCTAATCCAAACATATGTGTTTTTATATTTAGGAATTACAGTACTATCTACCCAAGACAGTAACAGAACAAACATCCATGGGGTTTATTTCTACCAGCAGTGGCTCTAATCCCTGAGCAGGGCTATTTTCTCTCTTTTATTCAGTCAGGAATAGAATGAACCATCCAAATGATTGCTCTATTCTCATTAATTAAATGATTCTTCACTTGTCAGTATAATTCCTGATTACACGAGACATCTTTTTAACAAAAGGCATTTGCATAAAGACACTGAGCTTTGGCTTGTTCCTTAACKGAGATTTATTCCTAATTGTACTCCTGGTAATTATTGGCAATTTTCTTTATGGATATAACATGTAAGTTCAATTATTTAAAGGAAAACATTAAAAAAAAAGGAGTAGAAATTAGGGATAGTAATGGTATCATTACACGGGAAAGCTCAAGAAGTGGAAAGCTTATAAAAAAGCCTTGCCAAACTGCAGCTGCAAACAGATGTTGAGGGATAACATTTACATTGAGAGAAATAATAAGAGCACTAATATCTAACTATAATAATGTCATGCAGAGAAGGAAGGAGATCCTGCTTCTGTTAGGATTCAGAAACACTTTGTTTCAGAATTCACCAGCTTGTAGAACCAAAATAACAGTTAAGAMACTAAGGAGATTTAACACTTCTAACCTGTTCCTAGTTATGAAACTCTCTATTTTTTAAGCTCATTTTCAGAACCGAAAATTGTACTTTTATGGAAATTCAGGAAAAACACAGGATGAAGGGAGGTTCCTTGCAAGCATGCACGCCACACACGGGCAGGGCTATCCCTGAATGCTGCAGGAGCTTCCCACACGATGGCACTCTTTCCATAAAAATACGGGAATTTGCCGCAGCTCCCGGTGGATTCCCCGATATGTTAATCAGATGTACCTGTTGGGTGGCAGACACTACAATCAGTTTGTTATTTGATTTTCAAATTTAATAAATGACTGAAGTAATAAYGCATTACCTAAATGCTCCGAACGATAACGATGTTCTAATGCTATAATTCCAGCAAGTGCCTCTCCTTCTAAGTCCCAGATTGTTACAACTGAACTTTTTCCTCAAAGGCAGTGGATCCTTTGAACCTATTTATTAGTATAGAATAGTACTGCAAGACATAAGCCAGTGGAAAGAGAGGTGGAAAGTAATAAGCAGGGTGCATAAGTTCCTGATGTTTTGAAATACCAAAGTCTTAAAAAGCCTACAAAATAAGCCCATATATTGAAATAATCCGATTTGTCAAAAAAAACCATGACCTTTAAAACTTGCTTATGGATAAAGTAAGTGCAGGTCCTAATATATTTTTACTTTAGCAAGCAAACTGTGAGAGTTACATTTTTCAAGGCAATGGCATAAATTTATTGAGCTGCACAAAACCAAAATGTCTGTGTGATTTGACTGATTTGATTTTGAATTCACAGTGCCAAATGATGTCTCATGGATGTAAACGCAGAAAACAAAGCTGCCTGTGGTTTCCAAATCTAACAGGGATGTGAACAAATCCTAATGAATCAATGGGAATAGGGCTGGATTCCACTTGGTAACTACATACTTCGTTGCTGGCAGTGAAATCTAATTACACTTCCAAAATACCCACAAGTAAAAACTCCCAACTTAGTATGATAGMAAGGTGTCACAAATGCTCCAAAACTGAGACCTCTGTGACCACACCTTTTTGATCTAATTTTATTCTCAGCTATCAGCAGTGAGCACGAGATATGGCAGGTCATTTACAGTGATATTGGAAATGCCAGTGCATGTTCTGGGATGTCAAAGGTGACTGAATATCAGCTTCCTGCACCAGGAACATGCTGTCCAGGGGGATAACTTCCCCATTGGCACTGATAAGGAAGAACAGGTGATGAGGTGCTGGCTCTTGTCAGCAGATCAGACTGTTRCAGAGAGCAGATTTGCAGAGCTGTGTAATGAATTCCCACTGCTGAAAGGGGGAGAAAAAGGAAATAATAAAAATTAAAATGCTATACTTGTATACCTTGGTGGGCTCTGCCCTGGAAGCCTGAGCCAAGGTCCCAGCCCTTGTGCTGGTTCCAACAGGGCTCCTGGGTGGCTCACATGGGTCACCTTTGGGAGCACTCAGTGCTTGCAGATGGGATCAGGCAGTGACAAGTCCTCCACCAGCTTCTGCAGTGGCATACCAAAAATCAAATTCCTCAGGCAAAATCTTCTCACCGAAGCTTTTCTAACAAAAATCTGGTACAAAGTCTTTGCAGAATTTGGGTCTCCTCTTCAAGCAAGATATCAAAGCTAATTTGTAAGCATCCTTCAATTATCAGAGTAGACAGGTAGGGACCCACATGGAGAGTTTATGTTTGTTTTTTTTTGTTTCGATGAAGCAAGAGCCTAAATCTTTCTTCTTCCTTGCAATAACTGAAGTGATGCCAGCTCCTGTTGCATCTCCCYGAGCAAGCTTGAGGTTTTGGCAGAGCAGGGTGCTGTCTCAGCAGCAAAGCAGCATTCACTGGTGCCACCTGGAAGGCTGGCTCGGGGCTGTGGTGCCAGAGAGGGATGGCTGCTGCCCAGCCTGGCTYGCTGCCTTGTGGGACAGACATGGGTAGGAAGCGGGATATAAGAACAGAGACAGGCAAATAGGGGACTCTTGGGGTTCATTTTCATCTCCTCTCCCACCAGTGGGACCTCACTGTCTTACTGAGACCTGGTGAATTTTCACATTTTGCCCTCATCCTTGAGRCCTCATGGGAGACACACACTGATGCTCAAAGCCTTGACTTTGATGCTATAAATTG